CACTAATTCTTCATTTTCACTTTTTACAAACATTACTCCTTAGTTTCTTCCTAATGTCAAGTCTGCTTCATGATATTCATTGTCTTTATTGGTTAGTTCGGTCTATCACTTGAATGCTTTTTGGGCTCCACCCGTTTTAAAAGTGCACTGATGATTCCCCATTTGACTTTTGTAAAAGCATATTTTTATCGTTTGGCTTATTTGTTTTTATAACATAACTCCTTTTTTTCTATTTATTTTTCAGTCAAAACCTATATATTTAAGTATTCATTTATTTTGTTGAATACTTCCGAAAATCCAATAAGTAGTCATTTCAGTTCATTCCAATTTATTTCCAATTTTTAGGAGTCATTTCATATTTACTTTAATTCTATCCATAATTTTCAGAATCTGGACAAAGCAATCTATTAATTGACTTGCGTCCGTCTTCCAGAAGGAAAATTATTCATGTTATAAGTATTTGCTTCGAGAAAATTGATTTAAGTGAATTGAATTGAACAACAATAATTTATTGTTGTTATAAAGATATCAATTCCAATTTCCACCATGTCATGCCTTACATCCGTCATTGCATTATTCTGCCTAACATCTTGCTCCAATTCTCTTCATGAGAAATTAAAAAAAAGAGGAAAACACTTCGTATTTACTTCAGCGAAACATAGTATCAAGGAATATTAGTTGCTTAGGGTGTGGTTAATTTAAAGTTAACATTAATACTCTGTACGTGCTACTTCATTCATGGTTTGTGTACATTTACGTATTTTACAAATTAATGATGATATTCCTATAAATTTATTTGCTTATGACACCGAAATGAGTTTGAAATAATCAAACTTTGCTTTGCTTTCATTACGAGAAGATAGTGATAGTTGGTGGTATGGTTTCTAGTAGTTATTATTTCTGTGTAATTCACAGGCCTAAACAATTGTTTAAACCAACATATATTTTCTGATCTCTATTTAGTTACTTTGCAAATGGATGATGTGAAATCCTTTGTTCCTTGCATTCATGTAATTTTGTCGATAGTATGGATTTTTATGCAACTGCAGTACGTGCAGCTATTTGTTACTTTGTTTTGACTTTTTAAGTCGCTAAATGAAACAAGCATGCCCTATTCTTTGTGTCTTGCAACATAATAACCGGCATTGGCGGTAGTATTGATTTTTATGCAACTCATAGGTAGGTACCTAGATAGTTCTATGTGTAGACACTATACATATGTACCTAGTCAAATATGGATTTCGTTTCATTGTGAACTGGATATTAACGTAGCATTTAGTTCTATAAGCGTTATAGTGTCAAATTGTTACAGACAATGGGAATAATTAGCAGTGTGTACAAAATTCTACTCAGTATGCTAGCAGGTAGATGAAAAATGTATATACCTTGAAAATAGTTATATAGCTGAAGTGAAAACTTACCCCATCTTCCACTAAGAACGGATGGTTGGTGGAATCCAAAGTTTTTATGGTAAAGTCAATCATTTTCACATGAGTGCTAAGAATCCACTGGTCACTGCAAGGTAGATTACACGACGCGTGCGTACGAGCCTACAGGAAATGGCAGCCAATTAGTTACAGTCTTAATAGAATCCAAACACTTCGAAAGAAAACATTAAATACTCACGCCAAACACAAACAATTTCAGCACGTAAAATGGTGGTAAATTAATTTTTACTGAAGTAATTTATACCATTTACTCGTGCAGAGAAAAACCAGGATGGTGTCACAGACTAAAGACTAGGAAGGTGTTGCCATTTTCCACAACTCATCATCAATCAATACTAGCAGTCGTTCTATCTCTTTCTCACCATGAAGCTACAGATAAAAATGGAGGGCAAAGTTGGGAACAAAACTTGAGTCAAATACCTACTTATATCTATCTCGCTCTCTGTGGCCCTACCTCTCTTTTTAGTGTGAACTGTAGTATTGCTATCTTCTTATTTAAATCTCCTTGTAAATTCTTCGAAATAGCCAATTCACTAACCAAATAAGAAGTTAAATAAATAAATAATTAATATTTGAAACTTAGATTACCTAGTTAACCCTTTTCTTGGCATTGTGCATTTAAAGATACGTTGACCAAAACAAAAATATGGGGGAGAAACCAAAAACTATTTTCAATTTTTTTTTAAATATAATGTTAGCCCAAATACTACAGATTGTGTTACACAGTATAGAATCGCTACAGGCTGCACAGATTTGACAGTAATATGCAAAATGTCAGACCTTTGATAGGCGTCTACGCACCAGCTGATAATTTTTATTAATTTCGGTGTTTTTTTTAAAGAATATTGGTGATTATTTGTAGTAATATGGATAGTAAATAATTTTTTTTGATGATAGTGCTGTTTGTTCATCCCAAAACTTGTATTATTATTCTTGTACGATGCGGATTGTCCGAATGTATCTCTAAATGCACATTGTCAGATACGTAATAATTTACTTTCAATTTTGAATGTATCTTTAAAGACACATTGCCAGGTTCTCGTTGACTTTATTTTATGATTTTTTCATAGATTTTATCACATAAAAAAGGGATATGTTATTAGTTAGTAATATTTAAAGCTGTAAATTATAATAAACTGATATAAGTTTTAATTCATTTACTAAAGAATCGTTATTTTTTGGACAACTTAGTGCTGCAGCAACAAAATCAGGCGCGCAAAATGCTGGTTATGGTTCCAAAATCTCGAACCAGGTCAAAAGTCAGTAGCATTAACACTTCAGCTGATGAATTAGAAGCCGCACTTAGCCTCCTGGTTCTCTTGGGTGGTTATCTTCCTACTCCAACCAACCCAAATCACCCCCAAAATCGAGCAGCCTGTCCAGGCTGCTACATGCTTCTGGTTATAAAGCTGGTGATTGAAGAATTTTAGCCAGTTCGACTGCTGCATAATTTCCCTGAGAGTTCCAGAGAACCATTTCCGCTATCTTGCGTTTCCACTGTAAGTTGGATATCTAATTATCTTCAATCAAAGACGTGAACACAGTTCGGTACCAGTTGGCATCAATACCCCTCGTATTTCTTTAATGGTCTTGCAAGATTCCTATGTGTTCTATCTGCAGTTGCTTCTCCTGGATGGTAAGAGGGGTCTGAGGTTCAGGAGGTACTCCAACGACGCTGATGGAGTGGGTCTCATACATCCAAATGCAGCTATACTTACAAGGCGTTACAGACTTTGAAGTGTTTTTTTTACTTTGTTTTCAGTTTTTTGTAAAAGATATTTATTTTTTATTTTTCAATTATGGAATAACGTAAGGTTTTATAGTTATTTTAATTAAAATAACTAATTTCTACTAACAAATAAACCATGTTTTAATTTACTACAAAGCTGGCAATGTGCACTTAAAGATACATACTATATTTCCAAAACAACATACCTAAGATTTTTTTTCGTATTTTTTACATGATTTTTACTCCTCATAAATCCAATATTTATAGTGTAAATCACAAATATTAACCAAAACCGTCGTTGCCAAGTATAGGGTTAAATAAAAAATCACAAAATTGTCGGCCATTTAGGCTTAATGTGTTGGCGAATCAGGGAATTACAATCCCAATTTCTGAGGTATCGGTAATGTGGCAACATCGGCCGAATCCGGCCCATCATGGCGGTTGTTTACTATGCAGTTGATTTCGTTTGAGATTTTTCAAGGGACCTTATCATTGTTTTGTCTGAAGAAATGGTGCAAAATTGTATAGTGCGTGGTTGCGGTAGTTCGTGTTGTCCTGGAAGTGATATAAAATTCCACGCGTAAGTGTTTATTTCGTGATTTCTGACAGTGGATCATTGTTAACATATTTCTTTGTATTTTCACAGTAATTACTTCCTAAAACGTTTTACCAGTATTTAAACTTATTATTAAATGTTACATATGTCAAGAAAAAGAAGATTTTACATTGAGTTTCATTGACTTTGAGCAAATTTAAAATTTTTGTTTCTATAAGACATTTTGAAGTAGTATGACCATATTGAGGATATATCTGGGACTTTCTGTGGGACCTTACTTATCTAATTTTGCATAATGTTTTCTACGGCCGTTTACTGTAATCAATCCATATCCAAATCCGTCTGTCAACTGCCAAATTAAAATCTGTTTTCTATCAAATATCCACAGTTTTCGATGCCTTTACACTTTCTTAATGTTGTAATTCATCTTAAAACAAAAACATCGAAAACCTTTTTTCATAATCATATTAAGTGCACTTTATCAAGACACACTGTTTAAACGTAAATCAGTCTTTGTCGTCCTGAGAAAAATAAATAAAAGGTTACCCTACTTAGAAAGAGAGAGCCTGCCCACAGAGAGCGAGATAGTGATACATAGGTTGTGCTTCAAGTAGGTATTCTAAGTCTGGCCTCCATTTTTATCTTTAGCTTCATGTTTCTCACTCGCCTTTTTTGTGTTTTTTTTTTGTATCGGAGTATTGATCGTTGAGCTCAGTTGAGCTCACTCAGTTGAGCTAAAGGTGGGTTTTGATGTTAATATAAGACAACACATTAGAAAAATTCACCTTACCAATCAAATTGTTTTGAAATAAAGCATTACAGTACAGTAGTACTAAATTTGGTGAATAATTTTCAACCTCCGTACCTGCGGAACCACTTCGTCCATGGTTAATACTGAGCCCCGATTACGGTAACTTTTATAACGTCTACAATCCAGACGCGTTTCTGATTCTGCGATACGATTGGTCAAAACAGCTGACGTACGCTGTTGAACGACCAATCGTATCGCAGAATCGAGAAGCGTGTCTGGATTGTTGACGTTAAAAATTACCGTAATCGGGGCTCTGATTTAATTCTTAAAAAACAGGCAAAATACAAAACAAAAGGAAGGGGGTTCTACAGCTACAGAATCGTCTAAAAATTAATATTGTAATGTTTTCGAAATTCGAGTTCATTTAATACTACTTTTCTTTGCTACAATGTTATTATTTAAAAAAAAATCTGCCATAGACAATGTGAGCCGACTGTCAAAAATGTCAAATTTTGACAGCCGGCAAAATGGCGAATGTGGCGAACCGGAAGTAAACTTGAACTAAATCGTCGTTTCACAATTCTATATTTTTCACAAATAAAAATTGTTTCTGAACCCAATTTCTAATATACTTTAAACTCAGTGTACTATTAACTCATCAGTGATTCAGTTTAAAATACTAGGATTAAGTTTAAGTGTTCAAATTTTGGATTCCAGTTTGTAAGTAATTTACCTATATTGTCAGCATTCTTTCGAATTTTACCGGCAGTTTCTATTTGTACGCATTAGGTGAAACAGCTTTTTTTCTGCCTTTATACAGACCAGCTGCATCATGTCCAATCAAGAAGAAACTTTACCTGAAGGTTGGGAGGCGCGCAAAAGCCGGAGCACAGGTTATTATTTTAACTTTAGATACTATATGAAAAGCTTTTTCTGCGAGTTAGAGTAACCATTTTTATTTCATGTTGGTTTTCTAGGCTTGACGTACTTTCTGAATAAGCATACTAAAAAGTCTCAGTGGGATAAGCCAGACGGCCCGGCTCCGCTCGTGGATGATCCGGAAGATGATGATTCGGCTCCGAAAGAAGTCCGGTGCAGCCATATTTTGGTGAAGCACGTTGGAAGCCGTCGCCCTTCTTCGTGGCGTGAGCAAGAAATCACACGCTCAATTTATCAGGCAATGGACCTTATCAGAGGTAGGTTTCTAACATAATTATGCTCTGTATTTACTCAACTCAGCGAATGAATAATATTTGTAATAATTCTTTCCTGGATACTATTATCCGAGCCTCTTCAAGTTGAGAGTTAATAGGCAGTAAATACCTACTTTGTTCTGCATAAAAAAATATCTTAGCAACTTATAGAGTTTGTGTGTTATAATAATTCTCGTTAGTCATATAGATATTTCTATAAAATATCTATCCATATTCAATAAATAAATTAAGTAATTTCACTTCCTCTATTTTATTCTGTATAACTCTTTCCAGCGGTTTATGCAATCCTAGCTAGGTCAATTTAGTCCCATGCTTTGAGGTTATTAATTCCATGACCTTCTTCCTATATTTGTTATTGTATTATAATGATCAAGCATTCCCTGATATTAATTTTCATAATATCGAACCAATTACATGTGCTATTTACATTTCTCTTATAACATTTGTTGCATTGCATTATTAAACCAGCTATGCCAGCGACTTCATACTTGTGAAAATAGTTTTTTTGCAATAATACTGTGAATCCTCAATCTTGTGATAAAATTGATAGCCAAGCAAACCATAAATAAGGGTCAAAAACTTAACTAATATGTAAGGGAAATTCAGGAATCTCATAAAATAATAAGTAAGGTTGTAAATGCCAGAAACTTAGGAATTTTTATGATTAAATAAGTCAAATCAATTTGGTTTTATAACAAGGGTTGAAAACATCCTATTGTGTTCATTACAGATTATCGCCAGAAAATCGTGAACAAGGAAGCCACCTTCGAAGAATTGGCCAGGGAGTTCTCCGACTGTTCGTCTGCCAAACGTGATGGTGATTTGGGTTTCTTCAAAAGAGGGCAAATGCAGAAACCATTTGAGGATGAAGCTTTTTCTCTGAAAGTTGGACAGCTAAGCCACCCCACAGAAACTCAATCTGGAGTTCACATCATACTTAGAACTGCTTAGACAGCAGCCTTAAAGTTTTTCTGTATGGTTCTATAATATCCCATATAGTTTTGCGAGCCATTCAGAAAATAATATACAATGTGTGTTTACTCAATTAGATGAGCTTGCATAAAATATAATTACCATTAAAACCACATCACCATCTCCACCTTATATTGTAAGCCTTTGCCAAGCGAAAGTGAAGTTTATATATTACTAGCTTTCCGCCCGCGGCTTCGCGCGCGTGGACCCCTGAACCCTATGTTTTTCCAAAATAAAATTTAGCCTATGTTACTCGTGGATAATGTAGCTTTCGAATGGAGAAAGAATTTTAAAAAACGGGCCAGTAGTTTTTGAGCCTATTCATTACAACCAAACAAACAAACAAAGTTTTCCTCTTTATAATATTAGTGTAGATTGATTAATATAAATTGTATAATTAATTAATGTGTCATCAACATAGATTGCCATGGTTCACATAATTTCCGTGTAAGAATAAGTCTTTAATTCGGCAGGTAATTAGTTGCTGTCCCTTTGATGGGTAATTCAGATTATTTACATTCATCCATTGGGCATTGGATAACTTTACAATGTTTATTACCTACTACCTACAAAATTCTTTCATTTGTCAATAGAATATTAAAATTAAATAAAATATAAATGTAGTTGAAACCTGCACATCATGAATAAATAAACTAAATTTTAAGTCACCTTGTCAGAAAGGTATTCAATCAGAGTTGTTTTTGTGTTTTGCATTTCTCATTTCTCATTTGAGATAAAGCCGTGCCCCGACTGCGTAAACAAGGTCGCAAAATAGTCTGCTTTTCATTTATTCATACATTGCTTATGCATTCAGTAAGACGTTTAATATTTTAGTGGGGCAAGATCTCGTTCATACCAATAACAAAAAGTAATCGAGAAATAGTGGTGACATGGAAGTCTACTATAATGGGCGTATAATGCGAAATTAAATGTCTTTTAATCAGTTTATCTCTTAGCGAAAAACAATTACAAAATTGATCCTGATCTTACATCCAATGAAGTTTTTCCTAATGCAAAGTTAATGCCAAGCTGTAAAAAATATTGACTATATTAACTCATGGTTTTTCATTGTTTATGTATGTACGTACGTACAAAAAAACTTATATTTGGAATGGTACTGTTGTGTTTAATATAATAAAAATCTTGAATCTTACAGATAACACTATGATTTTTGTTTGCTCATTGTTTCTCTTCAATAATGGTCTATGAATGTTAAAATCTAATTCCATTTACTTATATTATTATGATGATGTAATGTGACGCCATCGGTTCAATAATACAGGATATATGGAAAGGTGGTTTGAGGAAACTTTCGGAAAATATAATTCATGCTTTTGAATTAAAAACATCTTAGAAAATGCAGCATTATTTTTCATATTAATTCATGTTGTGCATGATGTGGTACCATCACCCGAATTAGTGAAAAAAACTTGATCTAGTATACAAAGTAAGTGTTAGTCCTCACATCTCGAATTATGTTGTGTACTTATGGCGTGTTAGGGTTTACATTATTTTATTTTATTTAGGCAAGTGGCATTCTGTATTCTAAAAAAATTAAATTTATTAATTAATGAAAAGTAAACTTTTAATATTTCTCTGACGCATTGATTGGGGTTTTCAAAACCCTATTAAAATTGACTTGATCTAAGTTCATTCCTAATTCATAAAAGTGTTTTTCATACATATAATTATGTTTTTAATATTTATTTCTACGAAAATTAATAATATGCAGATGGTAGAGGTAACTTAAATATTATTACGTTCTTTAAGAAAATTTTTATAAACTTTTTTATTAAACACATTTACAATATTCAAAGGTAAACCATACCATACTTCGACCATGACTTGGACGGCATACCATTATGGTTAGATACACCTTTCTATATTGTTTTAGTATTCGGGCTTTTGACTTAAAATAAGTAGTTTGTAGATTTAATGTATTAAATCCAAGTATCAATGAACATTAATGAAGTTGCCAAGTTGAAAAAATTGTTATATTTATGAAAGTTACAGTCTGATCATTATTCTAAAAGTGTTATTCGCGTTAGAAACAAAGTGTTTGGCCAATGCACAGTAAATTTGACTGGACTGCTCCTAATGAACCTAAATCCTTTTTTTTAACCGACTTAAAAAAAAGGAGGAGGTTCTCAATTCAAGTTTAAGTTTTTTTTACACGTTACATTCCAACTGAATTTAGATAACCATTGTTTTAGAATAATGAAAGTTATGAGAGCAAACTAAATACTCAAAAATTGCTCTATGAAGTAAAAGACCTTACCCGGAGCCATAATTAAAATTATGTAGAATTACTGTATCCTATAGACAGAACATTGATTACAACATAATATTCAGTCCATGTCATAAAGTTATAATACATCAATGTATATTTCAACCGTTCTTATAAGATCGTGGTTTTGCTTAATACATTTTCATTATTGTGTAATTTTTGTTTTATTTTAATCTTTAGAAAAATTTACAGATCCATGCTTCATTAGATGTTCAAATGTCTGCCTATGCTTTCAAGTGCTTCTTCCAAAAAATAAAACTGTACAACCACGGTAGTAGAAGTCCATTGGTTAGCTTTTATTCGAACCATACTCTGGAATGAAGTCTCCCCTGGACGTGAGCGTAAACTGTCGTAGCGCCCCTGACTCCCGACAGTGAATCCATAGGTATTTTATTTAATAATTTAAAAAATAACTAGGATTTGTTAGTGTTCTATAACGGAATACACCCCTAATCTGCGATTTTATTACATACTAGCGGCCGCCCGCGACTTCGTACGCGTGGATCCCGTTTTACCCCCTTCATCTATCTTACGCGCTTTAGATTTTTTCATACAAATGTTTTTTCCCGCTAACTCCCGTTCCCGTGGGAATTTTGCAATATCCTGTTGTAACTAAGTTTTAACCCTCGCTGTACGAGGTGGGGTGTGACACCCCAGTCCTTTAAAAATTACTAAGGCATGCCAAATTTCAAGCGTTTAAATTGAGCGGTTTAGATTTTTCATACAAAAGGATTTTCCAGCGAAATCCCGTTCCCGTGGGAATTTCTGGAATTCCTTGTTGTAACTAAGCTTTAAGTTTACTCAGGTACCTACATGCCAAATTTCAAGCGTCTAACTTAAGCGGTTTAGATTTTTCATACAAAAGGATTTTCCCGCTAATTCCTGTTCCCGTGGGAATTCCTAAGTATACTATAACCTGCCCAGGAGTATGAAGAATAATTGTACCAAGTTTCGTTAAAATCCGTCGAGTAGTTTTTGTTTCTATTAGGAACATACGGACGGACAGACAGACAGACAACAATTTTACTGATTGCATCTTGGCATCAGTATCGTTCACTAATCACCCCTGATAGTTATTTTATATTTCATGCAGAATTGACCTCTCTACAGATTTATTATAAGTAAGTATAGATTACATTTTTCGCACTAAAATTGCTGAATCCCCATTCCTATTATATTACATGAAATTACTTATGTGGCACTGCACCTAGTTACTTAGTGGCATTTTCTTTGTGGGCACAGCATCTAAATAAATATTAAGTAAATACTTAGATAGTGCGATAGGTACAATAACTTGGTATGTAGTTGGTAGGTATACCTATTACATCTAATCTGTGCATTGAAAACTTCCCTGACGTCAATAGGGGATCGCATCTAAATAAACTGGATAATTGAACGAGGGGAGTTAACTGCTAGCCTCGAGTGTCTACCACGGCCGCTCCAAGCTGGGACATCCGCCCTCAGATGGCTACGTAACATCGCATGTTTGATATTAGATAAACTATTGCAATCGATTTATGCACGCAAAGCCCATTTTCTACAATTACCCTAAGGGTAGGCACACATTATTACATGAGCACTCAACAATGCGGTAATCAAGTAGAACCTATATGACTTTATGCCAAGCCAAACCAACGCGATCATACGCGAAAAATAAATGCATTGATCGCCATCGCACGCCTGCTGGTCGCGTTGGTTTGGCTGAACCTTAGTCTTACAGGTTCTACTTGCCTAACGCATTGTTGAGTGCTCATGTAATAATGTGTGCCTACGGGAAAATGACTAGCAATTTTACAGTGCAGATAAATTATCATGAAGTAGGTACTAAGTGAGTCCGTGATTCTGAAATTGCTGATCTTACGGATTCGACAGCAGTTAGCTAAAAAGATTTACTTTTACATATTGCTTTTGGTTAAAATTACCTTAAATTCCATTATCCTACTAATATTATAAAACTGCGAAAGTGTTTATGGATGTCTGGATGTTAACATGTTTGTTACTCTTTCACGCAAAAACTACGGAACGGATTTTGACGAAACATTACAGTAATATTGTTTATAACCCAGAATAACTGAAGCCGGTGAAGCCGCGGGAAAAAGCTAGTTGATTCATAATTTTTTGTACAACTTGCATGTTTTTAAAATGGTCCTAGGCGGGCATAGGGCTGTGTAACGTCTTGGCCGTGATGTGAAAAATGTGGGCGTTGGCTTTTTGTGTTTAATTCTACTGGCCTATAATTCTATTAGTAGAATTATAGGCCAGTAGAATTAAACACAAAAATGAATCAAATCGGAAATAATTCCTAAAAAAGATGTTTTTGCTTTAATGGCTTCATTGGTTGCCTAAAGACTCCTAGGTTTTCGACTTCGACGGAGTTGTGCTTAAGTGGTGGGGGCCCCCGATAGGGGCGTTTTTTCGGTTTTCCGGTTATACCTACCGCGTAAAGGACTTACCCTATCGAAAAGTGGTCTTCATGACGGTTGAAGGGCACTTAATCCTGCATTAAATAAGACCAAATTCGTATGTTTTGGACAAACCGTTGTTCTCGTGCTTATCTTCGACAAAGTAGAAAATGTACGTATAATTAATAGCCCTCTCTACGTCCAATAAGTTGCTCGCTACCCGCAGGCTCCCAAGCCTTGTAAAGGGCCGTCTTAACCAGCGTATCCCTGTCAAGTCTCGCGAGTTGGATTCGCCTATCCTTGTTCGTCCCAGCCGATCTTTAGCTACTTACGGTTGCTGCACCTCTTACTTGCACACTCCTGAACGACTCTGTGTTATCTACTATGGCTGCCCCTCTTCCTTGTATCCTCCTGTACGACTGCATTGCTTGTCCGTATGCCTGGTCAAAGGTTCTTAAGGAAGGAACTAATTACTTACTTAGCTCGAATATACGAGTAGGTATACCTAATCACCTCCAACTGCCAGAACAGAAAAGTAAGATTGTGGGTAAGATGATGCAATGGTAGCTAGCCAGGCGGACTTAGATCAAGCCCCACCACCAACCAAACCGAACAGAAAGATCCCCACTGGGGATCGATCCCAGTTGCCAAGCATCAGAGGGTGACAGTCGCGCAGATTATTAGGTACTCACTGGCGCATCTGCATGAAAAGGACGGTCATGAATATCGTCTGAAGTAGGTGATCTTATCAGTGAACCACAGAGTCTTTAGGAGAGCTGTTTTGAAAAATAAATTCTTGCTTACTGTAGATACTTGATGTTGAATTATGTTACCTTGTGACTATTAGCTGCTATCAAATCACCGTCAAGCAATTTGTCAATAAAGATAATTTGTTGAAGAACAATCTAGAGGTACGAGTAGCATGTGGGGGATGCCCCTCGCAACACAACATCCCGCTCTTATGGCTTGAGCTCAGATTGAACAACTAAAGTGCACTTATATACTTAGTTATGTACATACTAGTAAATATTTGCCTATTGTTTCTTTTTCTAAGACTAAAAATACAGTACCTATTGTGCGCGTTCGTAGGTAGGTACTTTTTCCTAATGGGTAGTGCTAGGTACCTACTTACTTTGGCTAAGTGGTGGAAACTTCTGCAGCGTCTGCGCCAGAGGTTGCTGGTTCAAAATCGCGCATCTACAATTTTTATATGTGTATAATAAAGTAAGTTAAATTACGTACAACCTAAAACCTGTTGTGGTGTAGGATTTTTCTACGTGAATTGAGTTCCGTCAACAGGACCTAAGTAGACCTGCTGATAAACAACTGTGACCGGGGTGGCACGGCCCAATGATAGTTAATAGTAGGTACTAAACTCATGCACGGCTATGAATCGCAACCCGCACTCGCAACTTTTATTGTTGTGACAAGAAACTAAGCAAACAGTAACATAAAAACATAGGTACCTACTTAACGTATACCTACATAAAAACAAAATACCTAACTGCTTACCTAAGTTAACTGTCTGGTTGGCTAACTTAAAGATTGAGGGTTACCTCAAGCACGTACCGAAGTTACACAACCCCATAAAATGGGTGACGTTGCTTCCAACAAAATTTATTTTCCTGTGTATTAAATTGTATCTTGGGCTGCATCAGGTTTGAACCTTGGAAGTGATCATCTCGTTAATTTATCCTCACGTTTGTAGGCTAAGGTTACTGCGCAGTAAGGACAGTCCTACGAGATGGTTCTGCTATAGTCAAGTCATACCTTCTTTGTGTAAAGAGAAAACTAACTATGATGTTTCAGCACTGTTAGAATAATACTGGTAGGTACTTAGTCTAAAACCCGCACAAAATAGAGCTAACGTAGTTAATAACAGTAAAAGATTATGCAGTTACAATACTCCCTTTCTAAACTAAGTACACCATTTATTTTCATGAGTTTATAAAACTAAAATGGTGTGTGAAAAGCCCTCAATAAGATTTTCTTTAATGACATCATTGATAGTGTAATACGCAAATCATTTCGTCATATTATTATAGGTCGTGTGATCGTGTCACATTCCACCATTATGACACGGATTATGATACGTATAATATACGTGACATAAATATAACTGTAAGAGTAACTAAGTAAGTAAATAGATTACGGTAGGTATTTTTACAAAAACTTTATCTTGTTACCATTTTGTGTACAAAGAAAGAAAAACAATGTGGATTTTTTCCGGAACAAAAAGTTGATTAAGTTCAGAAGAAACGATATGTTTATCTGTGACCCATTTCAATGTGCCCAGTCATTGACGCAAGTAATTGAGTAACAGTAAATAAAAATCTATTTTTTACAACCATTCTAACGCTTACTTAGTTAATCTATACTTATAATAAATCTGTAGAGAGGTCAATTCTGTACATGAAATATATTTTCAAAATAACTATCAGGGGGTGATTAGTGATCGATACTGATGCCAAAAATGCAATCAGTAAAATTTTTGTCTATCTGTCTGTATGTTCCTTAAAGAAACAAAAACTACTCGACGGATTTTAACGAAACTTGGTACAATTATTCTTCGTACTCCTGGGCAAGTTATAGTATACTTATGAATTCCCACGCGAACGGGAATTAGCGGGAAAATCCTTTTGTATGAAAAATCTAAACCGCTTAAGTTAGACGCTTGAAATTTGGCATGCAGGTATCTTAGTAAAGTTAAAGCTTAGTTACAACAGGATATTGCAAAATTCCCACGGGAACGGG